CTGTACATTGACAAGATCGAAGCCGAGAAAACTCACAAACTATAAAATCTGCCAACTCTAAAATCTCTGTCCAGTTTCAAAAGTAAATGGGTTAGTTATCAAAAGTATATAAGTTAATTATGAACACATATCAAATGCACAAGGACACAAGACTAAACTATATTGACCTTTGGTGCTAGCGCAAGACATTATTGACCTACAAAACTATGTTGGAGTTTCCATTTAGTTCTAGCTATTTCAGTAGTATTCCAAACTTTTGCCAATAACTTTATTTAAAGTTTATCTTTCTGTATGGTATATTCCGTGTATACAAACCTAAATGTTTTTTATTTTGCCACATATTGTTTTTCTCTAAAAAATTTGCCCTTTCTTTTTACAGAACTGAAAAACAACCTTATTCATCTTTTAAAAATGCATTGTTAAGTAACTCTTAGTTATATTGTTCAATTATTTGGCTATTCCTGTTATACAACCTCCATATATAAACAGTATAGTAGTGAAATCATCAAACTCTTCAAAAATGAAACAGAATGACAAAATTGAAACAACAAGCACACGTTAGGATTCAACTAAAAATGGGGTCTTAGGCCGATTATAAAATGTTTAGGTCATATCAGGCTCAACTTTTAGTATTTTTAGCCTGTTCATTTGAAGCGTAAGAGAAAAGCTTGATTGCTTGTCATTATTTCCCACTACTTCTATTACTACAACTATTTTACCAAAGCTCTTGCTTTAATTTAATTTCTCCATGCACTAAAACTCAATAAATATTTGCTTGTTTCTCCGACCAAAACATAGTTGTGTTTGTTATGTGTGTTTTCATATACAACACAAATGCATCATACTGTTTCATGTAAACCTTACTCGTACTATTATGGTTATTATAGTCTTCTTGGCTTCTTTATTTCCCCGCTTAGAATCTAACCTATAAATACCTTATTGTTTATGATTCATTATCAATAAAAAAGGAACTACGAATTCAAGTATTGTATTCATATAAGTCACTCATATATTCACTCAACCTAAATTGAGGAATTGATGTGCCTACAACGGCATTTGGCATTACCACGAACGCGCAACGCGCGCTACTAAACTAGTTAATATCATTAGAGTTCATATCATTACAACAAACTCAAAGAGACCAACACTAACCACAACTATCCGTCACCAACTAGCACTATCAACCCTACGACTAGACTTAGAAACCATCACCACTGAAAGAGCAATACAAATCGCTAACCACCAACCAAGTGTGACACAACAATTACTGACCATGTAGATCCTTCTAAGACTATCTGCAACCTTACTCCGTGAATAAATCACATTCCCAATCAGTTTGTACGAAAATGGTGTATTCACTACGTCAGTTGAATTTTTCCTTGCAATCCAGCACCGTCAATATAATCGATCACCCATCAATTTTTTTTAAAAATTATATAGGTTATATTGGTGTCATATGAAAGGTAATACAAAATAATGAATTTTAATATATTTTTGGTAAAATAGGAATACAAATAAAAAAATTATATGGGTTTAAAAGAAAATAAAAAACTTTCCTTACATGGGACCCATCTTCTGCTTTTTGTCCATTGCAGCCCATCCCCCATTTTTTTCTTTTTCTTCACCCTTTTTGGAGTGAAAAGTGAGTTGGTTATTCCCCACCCTAGATTCAACTATCCTCTCTCCATTGTTGTACAACAATGTAAGGTGAAAACTTTAACTTTATTCTTTTGTGGTCCTATATAGTCCACTTTTATGTACCACATATCATTTCTGTTCCTGTTACCCTCTCCTTTTCATTTATAAACTTTTTAGTTTTCAATTTTGGTTTTGTATTTCAGTTTTAGATAAGTTTTGCCAACCTCCCCCATCTACGCGTACTTTCGTCTTCCTTCTCGTCTCGCCATATACCCCTATCTCTTATCTTCATCAACATCGTGACTTGGAGAGGGAAGCTCCCGACCATTGAATTCCTTCGAATCAGTAGCATCCAGCTATGGAGTTCTCAACATCGCGTCACGAATACTCCGTGTGTCGCAATCCAGCTTTCAATCGTCCTCGCATCGGACCTTTCGTTCGGTACTGTCCAAGGCTATGACCTTCCCGCGAATGGTGGCCAATGTTACAGAGCAATTCAACGAACAGAGACTTGCGAATATGCTCGAGGCCGATACTGGGAAGAAAATTAGATCAACTCATGACGAAGCTCATGGAAAGGTATCCCAACCTTGGCATCAGGATCGACGATTCTAGAATTCAAAGCGATGAAACTCCGGGTGTAGATTGCTGCATGGGAGGCTAGCTACCTGGGAGCTGGGGTACTCCGTAGTTCTTTGGGTAAAAACTTTAATGTATGAAGCACAAAAACTCTTTGCGGGTCACGTTTTCACGTTACCGGCTAGAGGTGGGCAAAATGGTTTGGTTTAACCGAACAGTACCGATCCAAACCAAAAATTGGTGATTTAGTTTGAGTAAACTCAAGTAAACCGTTTGGTAAGAATTTGCTCAAACCGAATGGTTTGGTTTAAAACCGAAAAACCGTAAACCGAACCGAACACCGGATAACTTCTATATACACACACACTTTATATTTATCTTCACTCTTCTATATATATATATAGGGGATGGTTCCGGTGAGAATGAAGTCCTAGGAGAGAAATGAGAATAAAATCCAGCCATTGAGATTACTAATCTGATGGTCAACGTTTTTCATACAATTAGCATGATGATAGCTATTTTAAAGGAAAGTAATAAATGATATTAAATGAAACTTAAAAGCTCAACTCGTACAAGGGTATTAGAGTAAAAAATACGTGCATTGCTATTCATACTTTTATTCACGTAGAGTCTTTAAAATGTAAATTATCTAGATTATCAATTGAAAATGTGCAACTTACCTAATTGAAAATTATCTAGACGTAAACACAAACTGTCGTACAAGGGTCTTTTATGCAACTTACCTAATTAAAAACTTTATCATCCACTTTCATTCTAGATTTATTTATTATAATTTACAAGTGAGCAATAATTTTGTATTGGTAGTGCACTAAATTTGAACTTAATTATAATATGTAATGGAGAGTAGAACAATCGTATGCACATTTTGTTAAAATATTATGCAATGGATAAGCGGAATTAGTGCAACAAAATTAGATGCACATGAAATTAAATTATAATGCACTTTATAAGTTTTTCACACTTTTAAGGTGTCTAATATAAAATTGCATCATAATATCACATAAGTGCATCAACTAACCTTCTACATATATAAGTAACGAAAATAGTTTATGAATTTCATGTGCATTTTTGTTCATGTAAACGTGCACTTTATCTTATAAGAGGTGCACATTTTTATACGTGCACGTATAATTCAATAAAAATGTAAAAACCTGGATGAAATAAAAAATTATACTGAAATTAAGAAAAAAATAAAAAATGGGAAGAGTAATAAAATTATTATACTCCGTATTACGGAGTATAATAAAACACCCACTAAGTAGAAAGTTGGTGTTTGCTACTATAAACAAAGAATGTAACGGAACATGCATATGACCAAAAAAGCCGCACATATTAAATGAGTATATCAATTTACAAAAAACTCCTTGATCGTGTTATATTAAATTTGTTCTAACATCTATAATTATAGTTTGATCTAATGGTGGAGAATCTTTCTCATTTCTCTCCTAAGATGTTTTTCTCATTTGAACCTAAACCTATATATATATATATATATATATATATATATATATATATATATATATATATATATATATATAGAGATAATTTAGACATGAAAATACATATTAAACATATATCTTTTTTACTTTTACACATTTCATACATTCATTATGACAAAGTTAGCTAATAATACGACCTATTTGTATTTGTTAAGTTTGGTGATAACAATAGCAGATTGCATTTATATTTTTTTGCGTGATTCATTTGAATAAAATTGTGAATATTACAACATTTATACCACCTACTCTAGTTTTTTTTTTGAATATTTTATGTGATACTCCGTATTATAAATGTTAATCAACTCTAATATTATTTTTTGAGAGAAATGAATCTTTTTCTAGTGATCGAAAAGATGCTAGAAGTTTTAATTTATAATATTTTATTATTTATTCTCTATCATTTATTTCCTTTTACATTTTATTTAAATAATCAATAAAAGAAAATGAGATGGACTTTCATATATAAGAACTTGATCAAATAATATTAGAGAAATTGGAAACTAATAATCCAACCTTTTAGAAGTCTTCTTACAATAGTTCCACCTTTTCGTTATTCAAGAATAATCGAACCTTTGCACTCTATCTTCATTTGCTGGTCCCTGAGCGGTTAATGACCTGTTATTCCAAGTTATTTTCTTATTTTTACAAAATATTATCTTTGAGAAATGTGAGATTTATGGTATAATGGTTTGCAAAGATAAGAAAATAACTTGGAATAGTAGGCCATCAACCGGTCAGAGACCAATGAATGAATATGATGTGCAAAAGTTGAATTATTCATGAATAACAGAAATGTGAGACTATTGTAAGAATACTGCTAAAAAGTTGAATTATTAGTTTTTATATTCCCATAATATTATCAAGAAGTAATAAGCATAAGAAAACGAATCAAATCGAACGAAATTAAACCTAATAATTTTTACTTTGATAAACTGGACCGAAACGAAAATGAATCAAAACCAAACCGAAATATAGTTTGATACAAATTCCCTGATTCCCCTAAACGGAAACCGAACTTAAACAAAAAAGAGAATCTAGATTGGCCCACACCCCTAATTCCAGCATTCCAACAAAGCATACTACGAGCCCTACCCATTCTTTTTTGAAAAATGCTTGAGGTACACACTTTGTGTACACACTTTGTGTACACTCGTCTGTCTCTTAAGAAAATTTTGTCTGTCACAGACAATTCATATATGAGTTGTCTGTGACAGACAAAATCTTCTTAAGAGACAGACGAGTGTACAAAAAGTGTGTACACAAAGTGTGTACCTCTAGCATTTCTCTTCTTTTTTTTCTTCAAACGCAAATCCTCAACTTCACACCTCATGTCACTTCAACAACTCATGGCATTTCAACAGCAGTCCATAGCTCATTCACCTAACAAATTCATCAAAGAGGTTAGATATTTTGTTTTTCATATTTAGATGTTTCATATACGTAGTATTTAAATTAATATTAGTTATCGATCTCTTTCATACATGCCTTCAAGTGTTGATGATAAAAGCTTGCATGTCGAAATTCCTATGAAAAATATACGAAGTTAGTTTTAATGTTAAATTGTTAATTAACATAATATTGAACTTTTATAAAAAAATCGACTATAAACTAATATTTGGTGTTGATATTAACTTAATATCGGATTTTCGAACTCCAAAATATCTATTTAATTAAACAATAAAAACTAAGGATGTTTTTACTTGGACCGTAATTTGTCCCAGTCCAGACCAAACTAGACTTAGATAGTTATAAAAATACAAAGAAATCAGATCAGACCAGACTTGGATAGTTATAAAAATACAAAGAAATCAGATCAGACCAGACCAGACCAGACTTGGATAGTTATAAAAATACAAAGAAATCAGACCAGACCAGAACAGACTAGACCAGACCAGCAAATTACAGTCCAAGTAAAAACATGCTAACTTGCAACGTGATTTTTAAACTTAATATTAACTATTCTTCCAGGCCCTGGTCAATTAAGGGTTGAGTTTTCACACATGCTCAAACTATTCTAAACTTAATATTAAACTTAATAAGACTTTGTTAAACTTAATATTAACTGTTATTATCAGCCTTAGGTAAACTTAATATTAACTATTGATAGTCTCTTTCACTACTGCACTAATTCCTATCTATTGATAGATAACACCTGTTGTTAAATATTCAATACTCACATTCGGATCCAAAACAGAAAAAGACATACTGTCTATGATTTGAAAAGTCTATTATCATCCTATAATTTTAATAACTCTGTTGCATGCTTGCACCGCCATCTTACTGTCTATATAACTTATATTGCTAGTTGCTACATCTTTAATGTGTTACTACTAAAGTTCTGAATACGTTATAAGATTTTTAATGAAATATTAATCACCATAGATGTCTTCAAAAGACAAGATGCCTCGAGCTACTGCATAAACTAGATCCACATTGAAAATTATTAAATGTGCTGAAGTGGATGTGTTTTTAATACTTGCCTAAATTCTATGTGCGTAACAATTACACCTGATGTTCAGACCAAGTTGAATTGTGTAATGGTTATGCACTGGACATCGTTTTACCATTTGATTTCCATTTTTGGTGGTTGTATTGTTTATGAATTATGGAACCTAATGGGTTTGACCGACCAACACCGACTTGTTTTGGTACGATAACTGACCAATTGAATGCTCTTCGGTTTGGTTAGTGGTTCCCCATCCCAGAAACCAGCAACTTCCCCGGCCAAAAACACATCTGAACAAATCCAAGCACCTTTTATTTATTATATAATGGTACAATAGCCATTTACTTTGTGCTTTTTCTTAGTTAGTCCTATCTGAGCATAGGACCCCAATGCTTCTATAATAACACCTCTGATTGTTTACATTTAATGTATTGCTTTTTTTCACATTGATTCCTTCAAACAGCTATTCACGCTTTCATCCCAAAGTTCCCAATTAAGTGTTGTTATTATGTATTCGGAGTATATAATTGAGTCTTTACACGTAATTTTCGTAAAAGACTCTTAATGGTATAGTTGCTTACAGGAAAACGAAACAACATGTTTTCAACCATCAATTTGACTTAGTTTTTTCGTCAGTGTTTGTGACATGACATGCTATTCTAGTTTCACGCAGCCCCCCATTCTTTTTTACTTTTTAGACTAAATATGCATGTATCCCATTAGATCATAGTGCAGAGTGCTATTGGTGGAACCTCCATGGAAGAGCTATTGTGCTCTTCAAAAGACGAGGCGCCTCAAGCTACTGCATAAACAGGGTCTACTGTGGAAAATATTAAATGTGCTTAAGTGGATGTGCTTTCAATACTTGCCTAAATTCTATGTGTTTAACAATTACACTTGATCAAGTTGAATGGTGTAATAATTATGCACTGGACATCATTTTACCACTTTCTTTTTTTTTTTTTTTTTGCTTTTTTGGTGGTTGTAAGGTTTATGAATTATGGAATAATGGAACCTAATGGTTTTGACATTTTTTACATCAACTTGTGGAAGAGCTATTCTGCTGTTATATATATATATATATTAATTAATCGACGAGTTCTTATTTTACCTTAATCATGCAAACTTTGTGGCTAGCATGTACAAAGTGAACGAGAGCTTAGAGCAGTTTGTAAATTGTTTGTTCCTACTTTCTGATTTCTTCCTAGAAGCTGCAGTTTATATTTTCCATCATTTCTATGAGATTTATACTCTTCTCCTGTTTCATGCTTTGTCTAAATGGTTTGATAAACCAGAGAAAGAATTTGGCAATGTTTCAAGCTGTCAACTGCTCTTTGCTCAACAAGTTTATTCACGAAAAGTATTTTCTATATGATGGCCATTCATATGCTACTACAGGTTGTTTTTGTTACATTCTAATGATGTTTAAAATGTCAACATTTTCTATCTATGAATCATTTATTGTTTTTTTTAATCTTACTTGTCAAATAGAGTTCAGCATTCCAAAGGACGTGGATGCCTACACTCATGAGTTAATCAACTTCATGAAACAAGGCATTTTTTTGTACTCTACAAAACTCTATTATGATTTTAGCCTCTCTGTTGTTTATTCATTAGTGTTTGTTTATGTTTATACTTCATAGGCGTGTATGGAGCCATAAAAAGAAAACACTTAAAAAGTGTTTATTTTTATGCATACGGAGGGGCAGCACAGCCTGAAGAAGTTTGCAGTAAGTTTTTTGGGTTCCCTTTTCTTGCATTATAGAATGAGAATATTAAAAAATATCTTAAATAGTTTGGTTAGTAACTTTAAAGCAGTTTAGGTAACACAGTAGAAATCTGGAACAAAATAAAAGAGAAATATAACTAAGAACTAGTTAGACAGTAAAAATAACTAAAAACTAGTAAATGGGCGAAATAACAAGAAGGAAAAAGGAAAAAGGAAAAAGATGAAACTGTTACAGTATGTTCTTCGTAAGTTCGTATTATAATTTATTGTGTGCCTAATCACTTTTTATAATTGAGCCACCCATTTGAATCCTTCTCCACACCCCATCTTGAGGCACTGTGGAGAGTAGATATTATGGTAATAAACTAAATATACATTACCATTGCTATTGGTACGGTGACAGTAGGTCACAAAAAGAAAGTTTATTTATAAATGTTAACATAGTATTTTGTAGTCAAAACTAATCTTTCACTTGGCATATAGCATGATGGTTTTGACTGGACCTAACAGACCTGGTGTCTCTGCTTAATACTAGTGCAGAAGAATGTAACATCATAGTTCATGGCATCCCAAATTAATGTTTTGGAAGAACTGTACAGTGCCTAGTATAATAAGTAATTATTACAGAGAAATCATATGGTTATCAACCTCATGAATAAACTTATTATTCAATCCATTCTACTGGTGGTTAATCAGTCCCACATTTTCAGTGTCATGTTGCATTGTAAGTTTTAGTATTTCGATGAGCAACAAGTTACAAAACAGCGACATTTAAGAAAATTCCCCAAAATTAGATCATTCCTAAAAACTATAGATACCAAAATGTTTACAAAAGAAGTACACGTCCCTGCCCTAGAGTAATGAAAAAGCCCAAGAACATAGCCAATAAACAGGGTGAGGAGTCTCAAAAGAGAATGGAACAAATTGGCAAATATAAGACAACCTGAGAATCACACCAATGACAATGTAATGATACTGTAGTCCCATCTTACTTTATAATTACATTTTATACCCAAAAACCGTGAAGTTCAATTGTATTTATTTATGTTTAAATCAAGGTAGCAATGTCGTGAGGCGCACTCAAGGCGACGGAGTACTCCCATTGCCTGAGGCGCAAGGCGCGCAAAAGCGCTCGCTTGACTCATGTAAGGCGCATTACTTAGAAAATATCACATTTACTATTATGCAAGTATCAAACATGATGTATATAACATCATATTGAACCAACTACATTAAAAAGTCATTTTTTTAAAATATAAAGTCATGATTAACCAAAATAAAGTCATGCATTTGCATCATTTTTATGAGCCAAGTAATATTGTTTTCAAGCCGGTCTGTTTTTGCTGATTTGGCTGCTTCAGGACCACTGGCTGAAGTTCGACTTTTCATGCTCTGTAAATGTACAAGGCAGATATTAGAAAATGGAATAATGAAGAGAGTCACACATGATAGACCACTATATTGGTAGTTTACAAATATATATGTATTTGACGTGTATAGAGTTTATAAGAAGTAGATTCTGAAAAATGATAAAACAAAGAAATATGAACAGTGAAGGAGAAGAAAACTTACTGTCGTTAATAGTGCTGCCTGTTTCTGCACTTGATGAATAATGTGGGGATAGCGAAGACTGAGGTAATGTGAGTAGAGCAGAGCAGGAGAGTTGAGGACTTGAGTAGCGAACACTGTGCTAGTATCATTTTGACCTTTTATTTAGATATTTAGCTGGGCTTTATCATATTAAAGATATGGGCTTCTTATTTAAAATAGTCTGAAACTAAAACATTAGGCTTAAACGTTTGTTTCCACCTCAGGTGAGATTAGCGAGCGCTTTATAGCGCTTGAGCGCTTCTGCGCCTAACTTGCGCCTTACACAGATAGCTGCGCCTGGCCTTTGTTCAGTCGATAGGGCTGATGTGCGCTGCGCTTAGTGCCCAGGAGCTCGCTTTTGACTACCTTGGTTTAAATATTGCTATAGAACCTCTTATCAATCATATAAACTGAAAACACAGACTTGGTAACGTCTTTAACCATCAAGGCATGAAATTCATTTAAAATTTTGGGTGCAGTTTCGTTCGAGGACACAAACCAGAGCACAAGTTCAAATCTGAACCGGTATTAATTTTTTTTATAGCTATAATAACTAGCAGTTTGTTTTGTTAATTGTGCCGAGATTGTGATAATTCATAGGGACCCGACACTTCAGATGATGTTTACTATGTCCAGATTGTTACGTGATTTCTTTGAATTAAAAGAAGAGGTATAATCATTATTATTCCCAAAAGATAAATTAACAGAATTTATATTTGTGTTTAATTAGTATTTTCCCTTAACCCTAACAACAAGCAATACTAATTCATTTTATTTTAAATGCCAGCGAAGTATTGGAATGCGCGTTGAGTACAATGACAAGTCAACGGTATGTCAAGTTATATTTTAATTTTATAGGATTGAGGATCTAAACTATCACCGATGGTATCTAATAGGAACCGAACCGATAATTTTGTTACACCATAAATAGGAACCAAACTGAACCAAGTTATACTGGTTTGGTTCCAGCCATTTTTTCGGTTCGCGGTTCTAAAATCTTGGGCCTAGTGTAGTGGAGCTTAAAGTAAACTTTTCATTTGTTCTTGCACGTGAACTAAGAGTGATATCGAACGGTTGTGACTTATATTGTAATGGAAGAAATATTTCATCCACACAATTATTTCCTTAAAAGTAGATAGATATTTCATTTTGGGACAACCCGAAATTGATAGTGTGACCAAACATTTTAGGCTGAAGCAGGGTAGTCAAAAGCGCTTGCATGACCGCTTTATTAGCAGAAGCGCAAATAAAGCATAATAAGTGCAGAAGCGCACACCTGTTTGGTAAAATAGTCATAGATTTAGAAGAAAATATATAAACAGAAAATACAGACCTTCAAAAACTTAACTATTGGGCTTAGAACCCTCTTATTGTACAATATTAAATTACTTAATATTATTCTTATTATGGGGAGTGTCCGGGTCCGTATCATCCCTTCCCTTTTGACAACCACCTTGTCCTCAAGGTGGGTGGTAGGAAACAGCCCTGGTCATCAGCTTCATCATTGCGCCACTTCCTTACCATCTCTGATTGATGGCCTAGGAGCTTCAGAACTTGACCCTTCATTATCACTTCCTCCACTGCAAGAAAGATTAGAGGCCGGAGATAGAAACTCCCTGGAAATAAGTTTTCAAAAATAACAATTCCACCGACACCGGTTACTGAAGTGTTCCTATAACCATCTTCCTTACTCAATGACAAGAGAACTGGTAGAACAGGCTCGGTATCTTCCTTCGAATATTTGCGTACAAATCTTTGACCAGAAAATGAATGAGGTCCTTCTCGCTTTACATGATAACCAGACTTTGAAGCCTCTATATTGGAATCAATACCATCATATAAAGGTTTGCAGCATGGAATCTTTCTGCCCCTGTAGTAGCTTCAGCTGCTACATGCCTACATCACAATGCTTGAGAGGAGCATTGTGACTTTCACACGTGACAATTATTATGATGTTAATTTCAGAGAGGGGGGTTTAGACTGATCCTCCTATAGATAAACCTATAGGAGCAGCATAGAATGTGGGAATCACTGGAAGAAAATCATCTTGAAGTTGACCCTTTAGAAGATGTTTCTCTCCTTTCCAAGACATTGGCAATGGATCACATTTATCAGTGCGCTGAAGAAGATGTTTAGAAAATCATCTTGAAGTTGACCCTTTAGAAGATGTTTCTCTCCTTTCCAAGACATCTGCTGAAAGTGCAGTTCCACACATAGGTGCTGAGATTCCTTTGATTTCAAATTTCACAAGAGAACCTTCTTTTGCTGCACATACAACACCTACTTCATGACTTGAAACTTTGTTAACCCAGAACCCTTTCTGCACAAATGATAGTCCTCTAACGTTGTGGGTCTCAACATTTGATATTGGTCAAACTTTCATCCCAGGCTCCCAGCATCATCTATCTTCCCCAGAAAGTGTTCCTGACCTCATATATTGAAATTGTTTGGCTATCAGTTTATAATTTGTAGTTTGAATTCTTTCAAATTACTTGGTATTACTTAAGGTCATTTTCTCTAATCTATCTATTATATATATAGACCTCCTTGATGTTTATAGTGAAGAGAAGTTGGTAGGAGATACAGAAAGTCAGGAACCCTTGAGAGAGGAGAAAACTTGAAATGCTATAGCTTTAAAAAGCGCCCAAGAGGAGTGACTAGTTGCAAGGCGCAGAGATGCACTGAGAATCTCTCAACGGGAAACCTAGTTACCTAGGTGTTATAGATTCCATAAGACCCACACTTTGATGCGCTTCAGTCTGCCTCTCAACCATGAGGAAGTGCTCACCTTTGACGTGTCATGATCTGAACAGGGTTTTCTACGTTTAGCATTCTATTATTTAGAGTCCTCAGTTCAAAACATTCTTATACCAGTATTATAGGTTTATATATGTTATTTAAAACATATTTCAGACGTAACATGAAAATGTGGCTACTAAAATTATTAGACGTGCTTCTAAAATACTTTAATTTTAGGCTTTTCATGAAATAGAGGCCACTACTAGATACAATTTAATTTCAGGATTTTCGTGGAATTGTCTCGAATGAAGTCACTACGTTGGAGAGGATTGGAGGAGAGACTAATATGGATCATTTTATGATGGATATATATGCCATTGATAGAAATGTAAAGGTAACAACACTCAATTTATTCATATTTTTTAAGAATTGTCATTTTAATAATTGATCTTTAAATTTCTGTTTGTTTTTTAGCACGAGGATGGCAATGAGATGCTGGTTTGAGGTACTCCTTTTTTCATGAGGGGGTTCACTTGTTGTAAGTTCGGCGTGAATTTTATTCCTCTGGCGTGTTCACGTCACCACACTATTACATAATATGATAACATATCATTTTAGGGCATCATTATTTTCTATAACTTCTGTAAGTTGATAGCTGAGTACAATTAACATATTAGCTGGGAATATGAGATTCAGTTATGAGAATGAGTGCAAAATTGAGGGATATTTTTTATATGAGGCATTGCTGTATGACATTTTTGATGATCCAAGTTTTGTATGAAATCATGAATTATAGATTCAAAGTATGGTTTATTGTTGGAATGGTCAACCAATGTTGAAATGTTATCCATCGTAGAGACTTGAAAAATCAGACTGTCCAGCCAAACTTCTGAAACGGTTGAGCATGGCAATCCAAACTTCTGGAGCCAATTTTACAATCAGTCCAATAGGTTGAAGGCCCTTTGCTAGGATTCAGTTATGAGAATGAGTGCAAAATTGAGGGATATTTTTTTTATGAGGCATTGCTGTATTCCAATAGTCATCATAGACAGATGCTTTTTGATGATACAAGTTTTGCATGAAATCCTGAATTATAGTCTGTCTCGAAGTATTGTTTATTGTTGTAATTGTCAATCAATGCTGAAATGTTATCCATCGTTGAGACTTGAAAATCAGACTGTCCAGCTAAACGGTTGAGCATGGCAGCCAAACGGTTGAGCATGGCAGCCAAACGGGTTGGGTAATTGTTTTTTTTTTTTTGCTTTTCTATTTAATTCCACCCCCACCCCTAAAACACCTAGCCCTACCTGTCTGTCACCAAAACAATATGAAAAAACAAAAAAAAAATAATTTTTAGACCCGAACCAGCCTCAGCCTGGTTGGGTTGGTTCCAAAGGATGTGTAGCCCAGACCTGCCCCCATAAATCCCTCGGACTGGGCCTAGTCCCGGTATCGGTACCGGTTCACTGATCCGGGCCGGTTCCGCATAGTGGTGGGCTGGTCCGGTTCCCGGGCCGATCGGACCGGACCCGGGCCAAGCCTACTCTAAATCCACCCACAGGTGAAATGGGTAAAGTAACACCGAGGTTACAGAGACTTGCCGTTGACATCATACTAGAGGCGAGCTCTTTTTGATGGCTTGAGGATAATGGCGATGTTGATGTTGCATTGTCAGGGCTTCCTTCCAAGTTCCAATCCTTGAACAACATCTTTAATAGATGTGCTAATGGAAGTTCTCGTGAGGACATAGAGTCCTTGCACATTGGGTGAAGGTAAGGATGGCGTTGGTGAAGGAAATGTGAGAGGTTTGTAAATGGTTAAGGCTAGGGATTGGTATGGGGTTTCAGATGATGGAGGTTGGTTTGACGATGATGGTTGTTCAGAGTTTGAAGAACTAGGATAAAGAACTATAGCTTGGGGTGCTTGCTCATAAGTACGCGGCCTTTTCTCCCCCTCATGATGATCCGAATCATCGGTGTCATCATGCTTACGCTTAGGTTGGCGTTCTTGATCACAACAAGTGGTTTGGATATAAGGTGGGGCAAGGGCTAAAATGTCGCGAACTTGGACAACTTGAGGCAGTAGGTTGGGTTCTGTTAGGAGGCGATCTAAAAAGTATTCAGATAAATCAATGATATATATACTAACAGGGTTGGCTTGGGAGGTTGAGAGTGTGGATTGGGTAAAAATAGGTTAGATGGTTATGGTTGTGGTAGATGGTAGAGTGGATGGGATCATTCCTATGAAATGAGAGGGGTGTGATCTTTGTTCTGCTACACCGGTTGGGTCTACAGATCGTAGTTCTTGAATGATAGAGTTTTTAAAGGCTAAGAGATCAGACCTTAGATCCTCCCTAGTAAAACTAAATGATGAAAATCATTAAAAATAGATTTTGTTCTCACAGCATTACTAAAAATAGTTGTGTCATGGCCTGCTGGGGAGCTCAGAGTGGCAGGACTTCCAACCATCATAGTGTACCTCTGGTTGTTGTGACTGGTAGTGTGCCAGTAGCAGTGTGTGAAGAAGTGTGTGAAGTAGGTAGTGTCCTAGAAAGTGAGAAAACATTTGAGATAGTGGACACTTGACCTATTGTGCATGGGTTTTCAGTGCAGGGAGGTTCACTGATAAAAATGGGTTCCCTTTGTATGGTTGAGACAACCATCTGTTGGGGGACGATTGAGTGGTCTTGGATTGGTTGAAATTGCGCTATTGAACTCGATGGAGCGACTTCTACTCGGGAACCGACAAGGTCAGAACCTGTACCTAGGGGCTGAGTTCGGATTGTAGTAGTGACTGGGGATGATGAACATTAATATCACTAGAGGAGGAGACATCAACTCTCTTGGACTGAGTCTCACCTGCCATCGTCTTGGTTTTGGACTTTGTCTATGTCACTCTTTTACTCTTACTAGCACTCGACTTAGAAGTTCCAGGGGTAGACACAGTGGGGTTTGACCGTGTCATAGAAACAGAAGAGATATGTACCTTATAATCAATGACATGAGGATCATTTTGATCAGCTAGATTAAGAAGAGCCTCAGGAATTGGCATTGGTTGCATGTCCTTTGTATTCTCTATCTTCTTTAAGTACATCAACTTTGGGATCTCTTGAAATTCAGAAGATGGTCTCGTATGAATGTTGGAATCTTCTTTCACGAAGTGATCAACCAGAATGAAGAACCACATAAGATAAGGTACGTACTGGGTCTTCTTGTGAGACTTTCTGTTGTTGATTTGCTCTAGGATCTCAAACCATATCAGCTGTGCCCAGTCATAGTTCTTGGAAAACATCACACCATGGACCAACTTGAGAATGTGAGCGTTGCAACGATCATGGCCCGATTATTTAGAAGATAAGCACTTGTTGAGAACAGAAAACAGTGTTCTCCAGGGTCGGGGTAGACTTTTATCAACAAATTGGGAGAACTTAATGAGTGGGGGTAAGTTCTTATGCTAAGGTGGATAAAGAAATATTCCCTCTATCTCATAAAATCTTTTTGAGTTGAAAAAAATTAATTAAGAGCTCGTTTGATAGCATGAAGATCGGATGATTTGGCTAATTCTGCTGAAATTTATGGAGTTCTGATTGAAATGACTGCATTAACTGATTCCGGTGATTAAGAAAAAATTATTTTTAAAATATATTTTATTTATAAAATAAAGAAAAAAATATATGTAAAAATAAGTAAAATGATCATATACAGTAACTTCAGCCAATATAGCTAGAAAAGTAAATTCAACCATACTTTTTTTGCTTATTACACAATTCAGCGCGCGAAAAAAAAGTTACGTGTTTGGCGAAAGAGTTGGCTGATAAGCGTGATAAGCCGAAAAACGGTATTGCCAAATGGCCTCTAAAATATTCCAAACTTTAAAGCGGTGTGAGATGAACACCCCAAACTTGCATATGCATTTTAAATACTCCAAACTTTATATAAAAAATTATTTTGACACCACAGTCAAATATCATTTCTTTCAAAAATGTAAATTTATGGTCTTAATTGCATACTTTAAAATATGTTAGACCTCATGAAGACACAATTAAGTGATTAACATTATAAACTTCCATTTCAAAATAAATAATATTACCCTCAATCTATGTAATTGCAACACTTTTAATTTGCTATTTTAAATTATGAAATTAACCTCATAAATTTATATTTTTGAAAGAAATAATACATGACAATGGTACGAAAATTACTTTTTATATATAGTTTGTGGTATTTAAATTACATACGCAAGTTTAGGGTGTACTTCACACCTCATCAAAGTTTGGAGTATTTTTAATTTATTTATTATTTTTCCCTTTTTCAATTTGACTTAAATTGAAGTTTAAGAAAGTAAGAATAAAGTGAAAATGTATATTGTTGTGGTTAAGTAAGAAATTGTAAATGAATTTTACCACACAAAACTTTCCAAAACGTGAAATGTGAATATTTTTTTATGTATATTTGAATATATTAAGTAAGAAGAATTTTATGGAAATGTGTGTACATAAATAAGGTAAATAATGAAGTGTCTATCTAGCCTTATGCTTTAAGGCATTGATCATAAAATATTTTTTTGGTTAGCCATAAGTTTTAAGTAGGGATACATACTCCTAAGTCCTAAATAGTAAATACCACAGAGTAGCATTGACGGTAAATAAATAAGTTGGAAGCGCAATTGAGGGGCTTATTTCCCATCCCAATATTTCTTTACCTAAATGTTACGGAGTATTTTTTTATTATACCTAAATGTTATTTGTACACTATAAGTTGTGCAGAACTACACACCGTTTAAATTGTCTTTGCACAAACAATATGATTGATGTGTAAAATATTATGTACAACTTGTTGTCTACACGAAACATTATTCATTTCTTTAATGCATTCACGTAATAATTGTACTCAGCCACACCCAAATCACGGTAATCAGTGATTTGGTAAAAAAGTGACTTGCACGGGCAGCTCAACGGTGGATGCGTGAGATTCTTAGATTGAGGTCTTATGTTTAATTTCCATCAGCGATAATGTGAGAGTTTCATTCAATGTGATGACTTCTCTTGCGCAGCAGACCCTAAACCACCACACTCATAAACTGTTCGAGATTATAAGACCAAATGGAGTGGTGAGGTATTAGGAGTCCAAAATGTTAAACTGGCATTTTTGGACTCCTAATTTCATATATTGGTGGAGGGTAGAGGGTATTAAAAATGGGTTTGGGGAGGGAAGAGGTTAAATTTGGAGGAATTTTGGACAACCAAAAAGAAAAATGAAAAGAAAAGAAAAAGGGGAGTGGGGCATACCTGCTGTGCGCAGGCGGGGAGCGGGGGCTGCTCTTCGAATTAATTTCCAGCGCTGACATCATGATGACGTCAGCATGATTTCAGCATGCACTAGCAACGACTGTTTTTTTTTAAAAAAAACTTTTGATAGATCCAACGGCTGTGATGATCTTGGCACTGTTTGAACGTAAAAAAAAAATAATGAAATTTATTTTTTTTACATCGAAATGTATCTTTTTTATTTTAAGATTAATCAGAGAAAAAATTAAAAGGAAAACATTACTAATAATAATTTAATTAATGTTTTACTAAATTGATATGTAAAAAAATGTGCAGAATGTATTTTATTGACGATGCTGGAATGCAGAGAATAGGAGTCAAAACACTGTTTTCATATCGACGGAGTTCATTTTTAAAATTTGGACTTTTGCACCACTCCAAATGGTCTAATGTAACATACATTTCCACCATTCTGTCAAGTC